CACATGCACATACTATTCTAAATATTGCATGTGTTTATTAATTTAACCCTAGAAAGATAATCTTATTTTGACCTACGGTAAAGATAATCATGCGTCTTTGAGACGTATTCGCATTTATAAGTGGCTATGGGACAAGTTTCCATAAATAACCTTTTAAAAAGTTATTGAATCATTAGTTAAGGGTTTTCTACGACAAATAAAAACATAATTACAATTAGAAAATGATTATAATTTAAAAACAAAGAAATTTTGTAAACCTCTTACAAAATAACTAAAAAAATATTAAGTCTTCCTTTGTTGAGTAATTATGTTAATCTTAAACTTAATATGACATTTTTTTTTACTTAATATTATAGAATAAGGACTAATTAACAGTATCATATAAAAAATTAACAAGTTTTAAGTTTAAATCATATTTAGATACAGCCTTTACATATATCAGATTTGTGTTCATGTCATTTTCGACATCCTTCTCATTTTTGACGGACAATACGCACAATATCTCTTCTTTTTGATTACTGATTCTTCATTATTATCTACAGAATTAGTTTTTGGTAGCAAATCTTGGATATTTACACGGACATGTCTTTTAAGAGTAGGAGCTTCTAACCTTTTCTCCATCCAAGGTGATAAAAGTTCTGTGCTAAGCTTTTTCATGTAATTTCTGAGACTTAGAGGCTTATCATTGTTAGCTATATATATACCTACCAACCTATATATATATATATACTTAGTCGGGTCATAAGTTCTGTCAAAACCTTATATTTTTAATTTTCGATTACTGGCCAGAAATTCTTCGACTTATTTTAAAAATAGAACTTTCGCGCTTGTAGAAAATAAAAAAGAAATTATTTTTTATTCATTTTTAAATATGGAGTGGTCGAATAAAGAAGACAGAATCGCGGTTATCGCGTTGCACCGCTGTGGTTACGCGCCAAAAGACATTTTCAATATTCTTCAAAATTTGAAAATAACGTTACGGTTTGTTTATCGTACTATCAAACGATACACCGAAGAGTCAAGCTTCGAAGATCGTAAGAGAAGCGGCCGACCTCGCACAGTTCGGACACATAAGGTCATCAAAGCAGTGAAGGCGCGAATCGAACGAAATCCCGTACGTAAACAAAAAATCCTAGCTCTGCAGATGGGGCTAAGCAGAACCACTGTTAAAAGAGTACTAAATGAAGACCTGGGACTACGAGCTTATCGTAAAAAGACAGGACATTTTTTGAACGAGCGTTTAAAAAAAATTAGGCTAGACAGATCCCGCGCTTTGCTACGACGGTACGCGGGAAAAAAATACCGCGAAATTCTTTTTTCGGATGAAAAAATTTTTACTATTGAAGAAAGTTTTAACAAACAAAATGATAAGGTGTATGCCCACAGCAGTGAAGAAGCAAGCGCGCGTATTGCGAGGGTCCAGCGTGGGCATTACCCTTCCTCATTCATGGTTTGGCTTGGAGTCTCATATTCAGGCGTAACTGAGGTGTTTTTCTGTGAAAAAGGTGTGAGAACTAGTGCCGAAGTTTATCAAAATACTGTCCTAACAAACATAGTGGAACCTCTTTCTCAGACAATGTTCAGGAACAGGCATTGGATATTCCAACAGGACTCTGCACCGGCTCATAAGGCACGAAGTACGCAAGACTGGTTGATCGCTCGTGGAATTGACTTCATCCGGCATGAAGACTGGCCCTCTTCTAGTCCAGATTTAAACCCACTGGACTACAAGATATGGCAATATTTGGAGGAAAAAGTCTGTGCTAAACCTCACCCGAATTTGGAGTCTCTCCGAGCATCTCTGGTTAAAGCAGCGGCAGACATAGATATGAATGTGGTGCGTGCAGCGATCGATGACTGGCCGCGTAGATTAAGGGCATGTGTTCAAAATGGGGGAGGGCATTTCGAATAATGTAAATAAAATTATATTGTACATTTAATGACCTTTCATTTCATATATAATTTTTAAATAATTGTCAAAAGGCGTATAAGTTATTACATCAAAAGTTTGTGACAGAACTTATGACCCGACTAAGTATATAAATCACCTAAAATATAAAAAAAACGTTAAAAAAAATGAACTATTACTACTGAGAATGAGGTTCAATAGTTACACAAAGGATAATCATACGTCTCTCGAACGTACCCTATCCCTGTATCTACGTAATTATTGTACTTACCAGGGAGACACTGCCGTCTCGCGTAAGGTCTGCCCGGCCAGTGGGATAACTTAGAAGGACAGAGCGGTACGATGCGAAATAAAAAAGAGATTGCAATATTTGTGTTGGCTGTGCGTCTCAAAGACGTAGATTATCTCTCTAGGGTAAATGGTGGTTGCGGGGTAAGCGCAATAAGGTACCGCGACCTCGGCATAGAGCAGGAGAAGGAACAGGGGGGTTTTTAGTCAGTAAGAGTCTGACACTCCCTCCTGCCCGGCCCTGGGCGGGAGAAGTCATTTGATGATTTTCCCCTCACAAAAAAAAAAAAAAAAAAAAAAAAAAAAGGGTAAATGGTAGAATAGTTAATTTTAATAGAAAATAAGAAATATCGTCTTAACAAATAAAATACCTACTTGTAGTATTATTAAGTAGGCATTTTAAAAGTAGGCAGCATTTATTTTTGACTAAACCTAATTTATTTTTGTGCTTCAATTAGATCCACTCAGTATTTTTTGCTAATAAGAAGACATGCCTACATATCGTATGTACATACAACTCACATACATCCATACAATCTTTTAAACTTTCGCGTTTACGATATTCGTATAACAGTTCATAATTTTAGGAAACTTAAAGATATTGTCCCGTTGTACGTTCACGTGTCCCACAGAAGTTTATTTGAAGGAGAACCACGGAGAACTCTGCATCACGCTTCGGTATGAAGAGACCACACAACCGGAGTAATACATACGCCAGAAAAACGATCCTCCAAACCGGATTCCACTAATCCTCAAATTATTAACATTTTATGAAATACTAGCTACTCTCGGTTTCTTCACCCGCTGCTCAGCTCCATTTGATCGTAGCGTAATGTTTAATAGCAATCAGGAACATTGTAGCTATCTATCAGTGAAAGAATTTTGGGAATCCGACCAGCGATTCCGAAGATTACCCTCTACATACAAACTTACAAACATACAAACTTATAAACTTACAAATTTTACCTCTTTATAAGTACTTATAGATTAAGTATGAAGTCTCACTCATACAGTTTGCTAAAAACATTTAAAAAGGCGTTTTTATATTTTGTCACGCATACAAATAACGCATTCTGCCTGATGCTCATGCTAAGTATATTTACACTAACATTGCATTGCAGTGCTTTTCTCAGTTAACTCACTTGATTTATTTTCGATATTTATTGTCTGTTGTATGGCAAAATCATCAAAAATCTCAAACTGACAGGCAATGTTACAGATTCCATTTTAAGTGTACCTATTGCTTATTTTTAAGATTTTTCACTTTTATTTTTTTACGCTTTGAATTTGATTTGTTTTGTTATTGTGGAGATTAAATAAGAAATCTTTATCAGTAGATGATATTTAGACCTAGTAGATAAACAGAGCAGTTAACTACTTCAAAGATTGTAGTCACACAAAACTGCTGTTCTTTTAAAAAGTGAATCTTTGTAGGCCTGTCTATTAAAAGGAAAAAAATGAAGGAAAGCCTTGCTTAATCTTAAATGAGTCAACTTGACCGGAGTGAAACCACCACAGAGTTGTGTTTCGCCGTGTGAGTAAGTTTACCGGAGGCTAAAACAGTCCCCTCCCCGCTATTTCTTTTCAATCCTTAAACATCCCTAAAATCCCAAAAGCCTGGCAACGCATTTCTCTGGAATTGCCGATTGCTTTCCATCAGGTAATCCGTCTTTCTTCTAAATTTATTTTTATATTTTCATTTCATCTAACTAGTCATGATTGTTACACTAACAAACAGGTGCAGTAGCAATAAGAAGGAATAAAATTTTGCAATAGATAATCCTGCTTAGTCCCTCGTTGTCCAGAATACTAAGTACGAAAGTGCGTCCGTCGGGGGGGTTGCGACGAATGCTTCGGCGTTACCCGCCCCTCCGACACATGGGTTATTGGAGGAATACCGGGTTGGTTTTTTGTCAGTAAGAGTCTGACAGTACCTTCGCCCAAACACCCGAACACCCGAGGGCGGCGGGTCTCCATGAGGATTTTCCAAACCGACACCAAAAAAAAAAAAAAGAAAAAAAGTGCCACCATAACCGTGACTCAAGGACGGCAAGAAAGAGTTAGTTCGTCTCCGACCAGTAACCAGACCCTAGCATAAGGGCGCGTTCCGCACGCCTGAGAGTGCCATGGACTACAACTGCTGGCGCCCACTAAGGCCAACGTCCAATGTCCAGCCAGGATGTAATTTATCTGCAGCGGCAATAAGATTCAGACAGGTTAAGAGAAGCCATTCGATGAAACTTTTTAAGGTTTTATTTCATTTTATGGGGACGAAAAAGAAAGACTTCTTAGGTATTTTTTATGGAATTGTTTACTAACTTAATATAAGACTGCTGAGATGAGTGGAACATGAATATAGGATAATTATATATTTTAAAATTTAAAATAAAACACCCAACACATAGATATATACAGAACTTTATTATATAAAACTTAAAGCTATGTTAAATCTATCAGTTCGTTAAGGACCAGCTAATTTAAGATGTACAGTAGACATTTATTTGAGTTTTTAGAAATCCTTTTTAAAAATGAGATAAAAAATAGCTAACACTAAAAATATAAGAACTCGTAACCACTCAATAGTAGCCACTGTGCTGGGTATATAGAAAAATGTTCTTTAATAAAACTATGGAGCTACCTTACAGCTAAAATTATTGAGCATCACATTTTAGTTTACATAATATACTTATTCTAGTGGTTTGTCTCGGGTTGGTAACTTATGTAGGATTGTATGTAAGTATATAAAATACAATATTTAAAATATATTTTTCATTCTTTACAAATGTTCGTATAAGAAGACTTAGAAAATAAAGGAAAAAGTTTTAAGAAATTGCAAAGATAAACAAGAAGGGAAGATAATAAAAGAAAAACATAAAGTTGGCAGTGCAACGCCAAGTCCAAAAGACATGAAACCAATGTACAATTTACAAAAAGGAAGACATTAAAAATTATTATTGCAACTGTTAATTAATTAGCTAAACCTACATCGACAGTTTAATTAGGACGATATTTATTGAGTGTTATAGGTACAGTTAGAGGCCGGAGGTTCCACAGTACTCGCCGATGCGGTCAGAAATACACTCGAATATGTCGAAGGAGACATCGCAGTTACGGCCATTGTCTGTAAAAATATAGAATGTTGATTATAATTTTCAAAATATTCAAAATGGCATCACACACCATGAACACAGTTTCACTATGATTCTCAGCATGTGGAGCATCCCTCTATATGTGGAGGTTTCGACCTGCAAGCTTGTGAGGCAAGTTGAGTGATCCTGGTTTAAAAGGTGTTGGCGTGGTGGCTGGGCAATGGGCTGGGCGCACGGAACAGTCCTTTGTGTGATCTACAAATTTTTGTTTTGGGTCTTACTGAAAACAGGGGCTGACAGGAAAAAATTATTTCTCGCCCGGATGCGACCAGACTCTTACTGACTAAAAACCTGCCCTTTCTTATTTCAGGTCCTGGGCGAGGCCACGATACCTTATTGTGCTTACCCCGCAACCCCGGCTATACACCAGCCCTTGTTGGGCCCTATTTGGGGTGGTCTATTGGCCTTAAACAAATCTATTTGACCCTGCTATTGGTGTGGCTTACTGATAAGTTTGCAATATCACCATTTGATAGAATATTTTTACAAAGGCTGAGCAGCAAAGATGCTTCACAATCCTTATCTTTTAAAAAAAGGGTCTGCCCTCTTTTTTAGGTAGGGCCCATTGCCTAGTAGTAGATAGTTCTAAAAAGAGGAGTCCAAAAACTTTACCCATAGGAACAGTCCTGGAGAACTTGTCGTGGTTCTTCATGAGACATTCCCGTGAGGCTTCCAGGACCGCCATGAAATAGCCGCGTTCATTCACACCATCCGAGTACAGTCCCACTAGACCTTCCAAAGTCGGGAAACCGTAGCCGTCCACCTGAGAATATGGGAAAATATTAAATATTTATAATAATGTTTTCTTCAGAGTACAATTAATGATTTGGTCATAATCTTCAGTGTGTTAGACATTTATTAAAAGGAATTTAAGCAATACTTCAGTATTGTTACGTGCCTGACGTCACGTTCCTGACTATGCGGGCTTGGGTTACGGGATTGGATGAAATGAAACACTAATACCGGTTTTCAGACTTTCTATTGCACTTAAGTTACAGCGTCCACGGAGTTAAGTTATCGGCGTTCCTCTCCAGCAGAGTCCGGCCGACTGACACAACTTTACCGTACACGCTGACTTAACTCACTTAACTGACTGCACTTCACTATTTCACTGAACTTCACTATTCCACTCACTTTTCTTCTTTTTCACTTCTTCCTTTTCTTCCGAATCGCTTTAGACTTAGAACTCAACTGCCAGCGGTGAGCCGCAGTTCTGCTTATATACCCCCGGTCAGGTTCTGGAACATTCAATTTCGTTATTCTTTTTGATCGTCATGCCTCCAGAACCTTCCAATAATTTCGTTATTAATTTTTATTTATTCTCCTTCTCACTCTTTGATTTTTCATTTCTTTCTCACAAATAATTCCAGAAAGTTCGACAAAACTTCTATCAACTAAAAAACTTCATGTTTACGGCGGGACTCGAACTCGAGGTCTCTGTGGTATAATCCACACGCCTTAACGATTACACCAACTCGTGTTGACAATTCACGACGAAATTTACAATCTCTAGACAACGTTTGACAACCATCCATTGACGTCATGATGTCAAAGAGTTTGAACCACTTTTCCGTCACACTGCCCCCCCTCTTAGATTCGCTCGTCCCGAGCATCGTTGCTGCCGTAATACCTCGCCAACCTGTCTATATGGACAACTTTCAAAGGGCTCCTTGAAGTCTTCCGAATTCTGTAAGTAATGTCATTGATCTTCGTGACTATCTCATAAGGACCTTCCCAACTCGGTTGCAGCTTCGGAGATTTTCCCTTCCTTCTGGCTGGATTATGAAGCCAGACCAATGACCCCTCTTCAAACCCAACAGAATTGGCTCGTCGATCATAGCGCGTCTTTGCGCGATCACTAGCTTGAAGACCGGCCTCCCTGATCTGCTCATAAATGTCCAACATTTTTGCCCTTAACTCGCTTATGTAATCGCTAAACTCGGTGCGAGAGTCGCCAGGTGGACAGCCCGATACAAGATCTGCCGGTAATCTCAATTCCCTTCCAAAATTTGCAAATGCAGGCGTCTTTGCGGTACTTTCATGTACAGCAGTCCGATAGGCAAGCAAGAAGAGAGGTATGTAAGTGTCCCAATCTCTCTGATGGCTGTCAACCACCTTTGCTAAGTGTCGCTCCAATGTTTGGTTGAAGCGTTCGACCATTCCATCTGACTGTGGATGATAAGGGGTCGTTCGAGTCTTATGGATTCCCAAAAGTTTACAAGTTTCCTGAAAAACTTGGGATTCAAAGTTCCGTCCTTGATCACTGTGCATCTCCAAGGGCACTCCGAATCGGGTGAATACCTCGTTTACCAACTTCGTGGCTACAGTTACTGCCTCTTGATTCGGTATGGCAAAGACCTCCGGCCATTTTGTAAAATAATCCATAACCACTAAAACGTAGCGATTGCCCGAATCAGTGATTGGAAATGGTCCAGCGATGTCTAAGGCTATTCTCTCCCAAGGCATTCCAACATTGTAGATTTTCATCGCCCCTCTGCTTCTTGTTTGTGGACCCTTGACAGCTGCACAACTAGTGCATTTCCGGCACCAATCTTCGACGTCATATTTGCAATGCAACCAATAAAACCTCTCCTTGATCTTCACCAAAGTCCTCCTAATTCCCAAATGTCCTCCAGAAGATCCATCATGGAACGCTTTTAATACATCCCTTATTTTTGAACGAGGCACCACCAATTGCAAATGCTCGTCCTTGCCGTTTGTTGATTCCCATTTCCTGCACAGAAGTCCGTTATGCAGCGTAAGGCTTTTCCACTGTGCCCATAAACCTTTCGTTACCGCGCTATATTGGGCGACGTCACTCCAACTTGGCTTGTTACCACTTCGTAGCCACTCCAGTATTGGTTTAATATCTGCATCTCTTTCCTGTTCTAATTTCATTGCATCATCTCCCCATGCCTCGTCAACAGTATCAGTCCTTATCACCTTAAGAAAAGCAGTTTCCTTCTTGGCACAATGCTTGCAATCTTCCACGCATGGGCGTCTCGATAATGCATCTGCATTGCCATGAATTCTTCCGCCGCGATGTTCGATTTCAAAGTCAAATTCCTGAAGTTGTTCCAACCATCTGGCTACTTGGCCTTCGGGATCCTTAAACTGAAGCAGCCATTTCAAAGCAGCGTGATCAGTTCTGATCAAAAATTTCCGTCCCAGTAAATACTTCTTGAAATGGTGCAGAGTTTTGACTACGGCCAGCAATTCCCTCCTGGTCACGCAATAATTCCTCTCCGGCTTGGATAGTGACTTGCTGAAGTAAGCAATAACCTTCTCCTGCTCACCATCGCGTTGTGAAAGGACACCTCCTATTCCAATATTGCTGGCATCCGTATCAACTACGAATATTCCTTTCGCGCTGGGGTATCCGAGAATTGGTGTGTTACAGAGCCGTTCTTTTAGTTCTCAAAAGGCTTGCTCACAATCCTCGTCCCAGATAAAGGCACGTTTCTCCTCTGTCAATCGATGCAAAGGCTTGGCAATGTCCGAGAATCCTTTCACAAACCGCCGATAATACGAGCACAATCCAAGAAATGCCCGAACTTGCGTTTTGTCTTTAGGTGTTGGCCATTCCTTAACAGCGACAGTCTTGGCTGGATCAGTCTCAATTCCTCTCTCAGAAATAACATGTCCTAGATAATTCACTTCGCGCTTGAAGAAAGAGCATTTCTTTGGACTCAACTTTAAATTTGCTCCACGCAGCTTGCCGAGTACCTTTTCCAATTTCCTTAGATGATCGTCAAAATCCCGTCCAACAATGATGATGTCATCGAGGTAAACTAGGCAGGTTTCGCCCAGCAGTCCCGCCAGCACCTGTTCCATCAAACGCTCAAAGGTTGCCGGTGCATTGCATAATCCAAATGGCATCACCTTAAATTGCCAGAGTCCCTTCCCAGTTGAGAATGCGGTCTTTTCCTTGTCCTTGGGATCCAAATCCACCTGCCAATAGCCGCTTTTCAGATCGAGCGTTGAAAACCATTTCATGCCACTCAGTGTGTCAAGTGTGTCATCGATTCTTGGTAACGGGTAGCTATCCTTCTTGGTTACATCATTCAATCGTCGATAGTCTACGCAAAACCTCGTTGAACCATCTTTCTTCTTGACAAGCACGACAGGTGAACACCAAGGGCTAGAAGAGGGCTCTATCATTTTTCCTCATATCGTCAATCATTTCTTCGACCTCTTTCTCACGAGCGAATGGTATACGTCTGGGCCTTTGACGAATTGGCATTGTATCACCTGTGTTTATTTTATGCTTCACCAAACCAGTTCGGCCAATATCACCATCGATTCTTGAAAACACATCAGAGAATCGAAGAAGTAAATTTCTAGCTTTCATAGTCTCCACTTTTGTCAGACTTTTGTTTTCGTCTAAGATTTTCGTTACAAAGTCAATTCCCGTACTGTCCTTCTTCACAAGATTCTCCGAGCATTTTCTTATCCAGGCCACTTCTTCCAATACGCCCACAGGCTCTCCTTCTTCAATCGTAATTTTTGAATCACTGAAGTTGAATACCGGAATGCGGTTGACATCAGATGACCCCACGACAGTTCTTGCCGGTAGCCATGAGCTTACGTGTTCCGATTTATCAATCACAGCGCACCTTCGAGGTAAACTTCCTTCCTTCCTCCTAGGTAATGCGATTGGTACGAGAGTCTGTGATTTTGGTGCAAGAACAGTTCTTCTTAAACAGCAAACTTTTCCCAGGGTTCCACCCTTCATCGGAATTTCCTCAGTTCCACATAGTAAAACTCCAGATTTTAAGTCGATGTTACACTGGTGCCCTTGCAGGAAGTCAAGTCCCAGGATGCAGTCATCCAGAATTTTGGCCACAATAACCTCATGTGGATAAACACGTTCCCCAATTTTGATTGTTACATGCAGTTTTCCGCTTATCGGTATGCACTGGCCGGTAGCTGATTTCATTTGTAGGCCAACAATTGGTTTAAGGTGTTTCCTGATGTTTTGCTCGAGCAGCCGAACATTTATCACCGTCCTTGAAGCTCCAGTATCTAATGTTAGCTGACTGTTTTTCCCATTTACTTTACCGTCTATCACCAGAGTATTTCCATCGTTGGTTTGCTTGATGTAGATTGTTGGGGTTGTTCCACTACCAGCCAGCGCCCACCCCGCAGCCCTGGCTGGATTTAAGTTTCCCTGCTGCTCAGAAGTTGAGACCGCCGCGTCCTGGCGGTTCACCTTCTTCGGGCAGTCGCACCGTATGTGCCCACGCTCTCCACATCCATAGCACATGAAGTTCCGACGGCGTGGAGGTACCTGCTCCGTTGTCGTCATTTCCCGCAGACGTAAGGTACGGGAGTTGCCACGCACGGCTTCCACTTCCAATGCATGGGCCAGAGCTTCTTTCATGTTCTTGTGATGGCCCAGATGAACAGCAGCTCGTACTTCGGGGTCCCGAATACCGTCAATGAACGCTTGGAGTAGCGTGCCTTCAATCGTTGACGGAGTCGACCGGAAAGCTCGACGCACAAGTTTCTCGATTTCCACGGACCATTGCTGTAGACTCTCATTAGCACGCTGAGTACGCTCTTTTAATTGCGCTCTGTACACGTGTTCGAGGTGGCTGTCTCCAAAAGCCCGCATAGTCAGGAACGTGACGTCAGGCACGTAACATTTGGTGTCAGAAGTGGGATTGGATGAAATGAAACACTAATACCGGTTTTCAGACTTTCTATTGCACTTAAGTTACAGCGTCCACGGAGTTAAGTTATCGGCGTTCCTCTCCAGCAGAGTCCGGCCGACTGACACAACTTTGCCGTACACGCTGACTTAACTCACTTAACTGACTGCACTTCACTATTTCACTGAACTTCACTATTCCACTCACTTTTCTTCTTTTTCACTTCTTCCTTTTCTTCCGAATCGCTTTAGACTTAGAACTCAACTGCCAGCGGTGAGCCGCAGTTCTGCTTATATACCCCCGGTCAGGTTCTGGAACATTCAATTTCGTTATTCTTTTTGATCGTCATGCCTCCAGAACCTTCCAATAATTTCGTTATTCATTTTTATTTATTCTCCTTCTCACTCTTTGATTTTTCATTTCTTTCTCACAAATAATTCCAGAAAGTTCGACAAAACTTCTATCAACTAAAAAACTTCATGTTTACGGCGGGACTCGAACTCGAGGTCTCTGTGGTGTAATCCACACGCCTTAACGATTACACCAACTCGTGTTGACAATTCACGACGAAATTTACAATCTCTAGACAACGTTTGACAACCATCCATTGACGTCATGATGTCAAAGAGTTTGAACCACTTTTCCGTCACAGTATGTTGGATAAGATACTTAAGAATATTAATACGATGTTGGGGGCTTGGTTTACAAGAAAGATTTATAGACAAGTTTTTCCTTCCCATAAAGTCAAATTAAAAAATCCCCGCTAAAGCCTAGTCCACTTAAGCAATAAAATTCCGATTATTACTGGAAGGATAAAAATAACATTTATTGAAACCAATTCATAGCGAGTCGTTCGAAATTTTATTGTGTACGCCTAACTAGTGTAATTCATGCTATAAAATATTTCATACAAAAGAAATTTATACGGAAAAAAAGTATGACAAGCAGTTACTGATGGGCCCGAAGCCGACAATTAAATTCAATACCGACTTTTGTACATAACACAAATAAAATACAAATTACTGCGTTACCCGAAGCATTTTATGGGCGTTATATTCTTGTTCAAAGGATTTCAAGTATAATAAATAAGGTACGAATTTTTCTTTTTCAGATTTACGACTTTGCTCTCATGTTTTATAGTTAACAAATTGGAGCAATCAGTTCGTGACAGAAACTATAAAGCTACAAAACTCGATTTGAATATTATTTTATTTTTCATTTACGAGTAGGGTTGACCTCGGGCAGGGGTAAATGCCTCCTAACTTAACGTTAACCGACGATTTCATATTTTAATATTTATTTCCCGTCATAATGTTCTGTTTATCTTATTGGAGCTTTAATGTGTTCGGAATGAGTACTGAGTGCTTTATACCTCATAATGTTTCTGATTATAATGACTGGACTTGATGGTTACTAATTATTACGTATTCCACTTAATACGTTTTACATTGTTGAGACCGTTTTTTGGAGCGAGCTTCGTTGCCGTTTTAAGTAAATTCTTTATTTAAAATTGGTGGTTGTCTGCTTTCAATGCCTTTACAACACATATCTTGATAGTGATTTTGTTTATAAGTTTCCAATAGTATAATAATTAAATAATATTGTAACAGGATCTTAAAGCCAAAAACCATACACCGAATATCGAAAATCCGAAATCAGACTTAGATGATAAAATAGTAAACATAGTTAAGAGTCAAACTCACAACAGATTGGCTTTTCTATCATGTAATAAAAAAGTTTATAACGTGTCAACTCTCCAATTGAAGTGTTCTTCAAACCTAGAATCCACGACGAACAATATGAGTTTTCTTTTAAAATAAAAACTATAATGGCGCAAGCGCAACAGAAAGTTGTATATCGCTATTTGCTCTAGAAAAAGTGATGTCTCTAGAATTGCATAGTGCAATGTGCATCAGATTTCATCAGTCATTCTGTGAATTAGGTATTGAAACTAGAGCTAGCTTAAGGCTAGGTTACGTTAATTTATTCACGTTTTTATCATTGTTGCGTTAGTTATGTAATTTATTGTAACATACTTGATTTTTTATTTTTACTCTTTGTCATAAATGCGATAGGTACTTAGACACCGAAATATGGGGAACTTTAAAACTTATCTGTAGTTGCAAAACATTTTACCAAACAAAACACCAATGCCATTTGTAGAACTTACCTACTATCAAATAAGTACCATATAGAATAGGGATATAGATTTTGCCAAAAAAACTATTTCGAATCATTATTATTACGATTCATAAGCCTAAGCGCGCACGCTGCATGAATAAGAGTTCCATTTTGACTTGAAACTAGTCGAGCTTTTCTCGGTAAATTCTTGCGAGTTAGTCATTATTTTAATATTTTAATTAAATCCACAAATAAATCCAATATGTTATTTGACGACGCCCTTATTCGATGATTTTATGATATACCTATGCTTAATTTTCGGTAAATCAGTATGTTTCTATTTGACGTAAAAAACGCATAACGTAACTGTAATAATGACAGAAGACTATCAACGTTATCAACAAAAAAAGTACCTATTACAAACATATTTTTACTTAATTAAAAAAAAATATTAGTAAGAGTGTGTATTTACGACAGATTCAAGAATTGGCTACTTTGGTTTTCAATGCATGCAAGATCATCTCGATAAAACAAATGGATACAGTATTAAAGTCTGCACAGCCCTACGTATTAATCAGTATTGGCTGTTTGTAAACGAGTTAGCAGATAGATAAATAGAACACTTGAATGCAATAGGACAGTGGGTTAATACTCACAGCTTTCACTTTCCGGTACACACACTGCAGTAGACACTGGAATTGAGAAAAATAAAACATTAGTTACGTATAATATAGCGACTAGAGACCCGTCCCGGCTTCGCACAGGGGCAATGATGACACTAAATTTCTTTACTATTCAATGGATGATATTCTACATATTATGAACATTCCTCTTCATATGTATAAAGATATAGAATCAAAATCCATTGCGTAGTTTTAAAGATTTAAGCATTATATATGGGGAAATAAGGACAGCGAGAGCGATTTTGTTTTATTATAAGTACCATGTAGTGATTAAAGTAATGGATAGATAATTAATTTTTTTTATAGGACGACATACATTTGGATTGACGAGCATGCAAGTTTGATGAATGTTGAAATGGTGAAATGTGATCGAAACTTACCCCAGCGATTCTCTTCTCATCGTGTGTGAAGGGCACCTCTCTCTTGTCTCGCCGTCTCTGCGCTGGCATTGTGTGCTCTTCTTTGATGACGTCCAACGCTTCTGAAATAGCATATTAAGAGTTTCGTTAAAAAAATAATAATTTCACGATATAATTTATAGGTCAACAGTTTTGTAGAACCTTTACTATGGATTGAAAGTTAAATAACCTTTGAAGATCATTCAATTGAACTTGTTGTTATTTCTTAACAGAAGAGTGTTTTTAAGTCAACGCTATAAGACGCTTAACTATAAGACACATTCTGTGCTTGAGTATATTAAAATTGTTTACAGTTATGTTTATAAATGTTGTTGTAAAAGTAACAGTTGCATTTTCGATGGCGTAATTGTAGGGGCCAAAGTAGAATCAAGGTCAAATCAAATCAATACTAGACTTTTTACACTAGCTACTCTTCCGCATACCTATTTCCTCCAGCTGCTTGGTACCTATTGATCGTAATGTCATGTATTATAGTCTTCCTAGATAAATCGACTATGCAATGCAAAACGATTTTTCCCGTTCCAATTAGTAATTCCTGAGATTAGCGCGATCAAATATCAAATAAACTTTTTAGCTTCATAATATTAGTAACAAAATATATTTATTAAAAACATTAAAAAACACGGCATCCATGTTTAAAGCTGAACTTAAAAAAGAAAAAACAAGTTGGCTGTTGTATGTGTGAAGTACCTATAGAATCAATATTCGTTCAAATAACGTAGGGATCATTTATTTATTTAATTATGGACAACCAGTAGCTGTTACCTTATTTCTTACATCTAAACATTGAATACACTATAATAAAATTAAATGTAGGTGTTTAAGGTGTCATAACATGCACAAAATATTTCGTAGTCACAAAAAAAATAATAATAAAAGAAAGGGTATAATTCAAAATACATTTAAAATAATAGGAATGCAAAAAATACGATTCAAAATTAAATTAAAATAAAATAAGTACTTATATATAAAACATAAACATTTTTTTACTTAAACAAAGATTATTGGAATCCAGTCCTCCCAAAAATCCCCAACACATTTTTTTAAATGCCGGTAAATTATTTCTGAATATATCCACCTTATCACTAAAACTGTTGTAAGTCGAGACATGGCAGGAATACCCACTTGATATCGTCAAATTAAATCAAAAATTAAATACACCTACATGTGCACATCCCATGCATTTTTGCCTACAAGTTCAGTGTATATGAACATTAAACCTACCTACATTCCAAACAAAATTCTTATAACTAGGCCAGGTCAAACAAGTGCATAGGTACCATTTCATGTCTAAATTAAAAGATTGAAATGCGACTAAACGCATCTTACTTCATAAGGAAGGACCATAACCGTAGAAACTGGTAAATGGTTGCGTTAGTATTGAAGCGGGTTGTATGTAGGCCAGACAGGTCACGAGCCGAACCAACGCTCACTTTCGATATGTATTTTACTTTAGATAATTCTGGATACACAGATTTGAGGTTTTTGGATGTAGAGATACAACTTAGGCTTTATATTATATAGATAGTAATGTTTATAAATAGTTTTCAAAAATATCTTGACAAATGATTAATTGACGAAATTTTCATGGCATAGGTACATACATTCTTTCTAAGGTTGTTTTAACTGCACTGACCTAATGGTGAAGGAAAACTTATTTAGAAAATCTGGTCTTATAAGGTCGAAATCGCCAATCCGTCTAATGCAGGCGTGGTTTTATAATGCTCATTTTCTTAAATATCCGTGCGAGAAGAGGCCCTCCATGTGAAACCTTCGCTCAGCTGTTAATGTGTGTGATTCCAAACGACGAAACATTGGACCTTAGTAATTATTTAATTAGCATACAGATTTAGAAACCAGAAGGACACAATATATTTTTATAAAATAGATGCATTCACAAAATCTTGAGCTTTATTGCAAGCAGCAACAGAGGTTCTAACTATTAATCTAGATGCCCATCAAAATTGATTCAGCATTTTACAGACAAATAACTAGAAAATTGCTACAAAACGTTGATAGATAATTATTACAGATATAATAACAATACCTCTAAGATTCTGCACTACATAGTATAAAGCAAAGACGCTTTCTCTGTCCCTATGTGTGCTTGAACCTCTAAAACTTCGCAACGGATTTTAATGCGGTTTTTTTAATAGATGTCCTGATTAAATTTGAAGGTTTATATTTATAATAATATCTATGAAATATAAAAAAAATATCAGCATTGGGCAGTGCGATGTATGAAATCTTGTAATGGTTTCAAAATTTATTTTATCAGCAGTAATCGTTGAGCAATATTTAAACTAGCATAAGAATTATCTAATTAATGTCAAGTAAATGGAACTTGGTATTACATGTTTTTATAACTCAGTCTAGGAGTGGTATACTTGAGTTAGGTAAGCAATGCACCTACTTAAGAACGCCTTATTGGGCTACATGGTCCGTGTGTGTACACAATTACAAACACGAGGTTTTGACACTAATTTCTGAACGCAGCAAAATATTTTAAGAGTTTGATATAACTCACTAAAATTTGGAATTTCTTCGTGTTTCATGTTTTTGCCCATTTCGTTACTATCTACATAGTACTCTCTTTAAACAAATCATCATCATCATCAGCCTATAAGTGCCCCCTGCTGAGCAAAGGCCTCTTCTCACACGGAGAAGGTTAAATTATTAATCAAAACGCTTGTTCAATGCGGGTTGGCGAAAGTCCAGGTTTCCTCACGATGTTTGCCTTCACCGTATGTCAGTGGTGTCTAAATAATCATAGAAAGTACTTATAACTCGGAAAAAGTCACATTGGTACTTGCCAGGTTTCGAACTCAATGAGGCATCGCGACCTCGGCCCAGAGAAGGAGAAGGAACAGGGGGTTTTTAGTCAGTAAGAGTCTGACACTCCCTCTCGCCCGGCCGGGGCGGGTTATTTGATGATTTTCCCCGCACAAAAAAAAAAAAACACCCTCATGCATGAGAAGCGGGCTCGTTAACCTACGGGCCACCAACTCGACCTCTTTAAACAAATGATTTAAGTATGTTGCTGTATCTGCACTTAAATTATAGGATTGTTTGGTGTCCGATATTGCCGATAGACGGTTAAAACCATTGATCTAATCACACTGTGATTTGATAAAAATAAACACTAATATTGAGTAAGTTTGCGCCTGTGTTGGTTATTGCAATATTATGTTACTCGTTATTAAGGGCCCCTGTGAAACTGGAATACACTCGAGTAACCTCGTCGAACATACCAAATTAATTGTAAATAACAACTTACTCACATTGATTAATTGGGAAAGGCTCTACTAGTTACAAGTCACAACGGGACTCTTATTCGGTCGCACGTAAAGTTTTCTTAATTAATTTCAGTAAGTTAAAACTTGTCGAACAATTACGTAAGTAAACTAAACAACTTAATTTATTTAACGTATCTCATGGTAATTTCTCTTAAACTATAATTATGAAATTAAAGATCTTTAATCACAACAGGATCAATTAAACTATTAAGTTGAGTAATGCAAATCATACGAGTATAGTAATTGGCGTGGGTATAAGTTGGTAAACTTATAATGATTGGGCAATTATCTATGTTACAATATCCTGCTCATTGGAGGAAATTCGATTACCGCAAGCTTCCTTCTAGATTCTAGTAGTACTTATATGTATATGCATATATTCAACTACTGTTTACGGAGGTATTGTACCTATACTTTAAATTACAAATGACTGTCTAACTACATGGGTGTCAGTCATTTGTTTTGTTACTATGTCCCGCATGTCACCAATAAGGTTCTTTTTTTATTTTTACAAAAATCATCTTCATGCATAAAAAGGATTAGCAAATACAGTACAGCCGTTCTTGAGATTTGCGTTTAACAACACAAATACTAAGCGATTTAATTTTATAGAATAGACTACTTAGCGTACTTGGCAAACGTATTCCAATCTAAATTATTTTGGAAAAAAATGTTGAATTAAAAGTCATTATCGTCATTAAGGGTGAACAACCCATACCACTTAGGGGTATGAATAGCCAGTAGCCGATGCTCAGTCCTACTATACATGCATACAAAATTTAGTTAAAATCAGTAAAGCCGTTTCGGAGGAGTAAAGTAACCTAACATTGTGACACGAACTTTTATTATATGTATATAAGATCTATATTTATTGGACATATTTTAAATCTAGCTTAAAATAAAGTTAACGAAGTCAAGCTATACTCGTAAATTACAGTTTGCGGTTAGTAACGTCAACCGCCTGCAGTTTTGAAAGTCTTGCAGCATTCCCCTGTTGTATATAACCTGTACCACCTACCTAACACGTTCTAGATTGAATTATTTGAAATGCAGTGTATTAAAATCCAATACTGGACCACTACTGGAACATAGGCTTTTTCTATAATCTCCAAAAGAGGAGAAGATGGTTCTACTCGTCCATAAATACAATATGTATACAAGAAAGTCAGAGTTTTGCAGGTCTGCGAACGGTAATCAAGGGTAACTTGCTATACAAATAGAACATTACCCGAGTGTAAGCTCCGTCGGCTTCCCCGCGCCTAAAAGAGCCATCAGCGGTCTGACACCACAAATGGGACTTATTAGTGCCAATGACCTAGGAGTTAAATATGCATGTGCAATTATGTACGGCGGCCCGGCCCGACGCAGGAAGCATGACATTTCCTCCCACCTCAACCTGGACCAAAAAGTCATGACATAATTATACACCCTCAAAAAATTTAATTGGATATATCACACCCTTAAAAAAACAATTCGTACAAGTATTATAAATGTAATATTATGTACACGCATATGTTAACCCCAAGAGAACGCCGGCGCTAGCGCACCTGTTCTTCTTCTATACTGTCTCGAATGGCCACGATTGAAAGGTCAAATATTTGCAAAAACACGCAACAAATCCAACTGTCTCCGTGATTGCACGTTAATTTCGTAAATCCGTGGCTAGGTACAGTCGAGTGCACATCGCATGTCCTACCTGCTTGCGGCAACCTGCGCCTGCGCCTTATGCAATGGCCAATCGCAACGCTTATATGGGTCAGCCAGTA